CTTGCAGTCAAAACTTTTACATTTTTTGTCCGGGGCAAAGCCCGGACTTTTTATCCTTGCACTTTCTATGTTTGTCATATTTATCAATTCGGAAACAACATTAAAAGTTTCTGGCCCCCGCGTAGCGGGGGTAACCTTTCTAGTTAATATAATAAAACTATAATAATATAATATCATCTGTGTTAAATAAAATATTATATGATAAAATTATAATAAAAAAATCTATTTGTCGAATAGAAAAATATCTTAACATTATAGTAAGATAATAAACAACATCAAAATTACATTATAAAATACTTACTTTTAGAAAACTTTTATATTTTAATCATATTTAAAAAAAAAATCATCATGGTTTTAATGATTTGTCACCGTCTAAAATCTCAAATATATAAACAATTACAAGTTTTTTTTTTCATTTGTTATTCAAAAATATGAAAATCGAACAATTGTTAATGAGTCCAAAAGGATATTTTTTTCTAAACATTCTTATTACTTTACACTAATAACAAGTCTTTTTATTTGTTCAAGTAATTACATTAAATCAAATTGGTAGCAAGGTAAAACAACAATTTTCGAAGGCACGGCAAGGACACAACGATTCATATAATATTTTGTTTGCTATTTAAAGCTTAAAAAATAGCCATTTTTTCTTTTTCTCATATTCTATTAGAGATATTCTGTTTGCTATTCATTTTGGCCCCATCATATTTCATTCTTGTTTGGGTTGGGGAAAAAGCCCAGCTGGCAATTCAAACAAAATTCATGTATCCGTCCTCCATGACCCGGTCTTGATATTGATCGTTAGCCGTGAATCGTATGGGGCTGTAAAATGGTAGGAATTGCTTGAGATAATAAGGTAATATCTGAATCATCACGTTAAATCTGCTGCAACTTTCCTAATCTTGATTAGATTCCGATTGTTGATTGTAACCTACATTGCCCATTACGTGTTTGTTAAAAGTTCTCAAAGAAAACATGTAGTTTGCAAGACCATAAATTTGAATATGTTATTGTTATAGCCTATTTCCGCATTTCAATTGTGGTTAACCAAGATGTTAGCTTTTATATACAGATGGTATGTGATATCGCTGTTGCTTACTACTCTGATGGATTAGAATGAAGTCATTTAAGTTCCAAATCAGGACTGGGTTTCTATAAGCTCTGTACTTAATCACATTGAATATATAATAAGATCATGGGAGGGGCATGAAAAAAAATCTTGATGTTCATACTCGATTCACCAAGAGAAAAGGAAACAGAAAGGCGCTTTGTGTGCAAATCACTGAATGCAGATTAGGTAATTGGTCATGGCTCATGGGTCTACACCTTTATGTAATTATCGAGCATCAAATTGTGTAATTGTGACTTCATTGATTGAAACCAACACTTCTGGCATGATTAAGCTAGACTTAACTTCAGGCTTAGGCACTTGTGTGAAAAAGCCAGGTGGTTGTGGTGGAGGTAGTGCACCCTCACCACTCGGCATATGAATCACAGAGGACATAATTGGCCTATCATCTGCATGTTGTTGCACACATGATAAACCAACATGTATTGATTGCAATACTTCAGAAACAATCCACGAGTCCCCTAAGGCTGTGTCAACCAGCTCCAGAGGCTTGTCTTCCTTGTAAAGTCTTCATGCCTAAACCATTTTGAAGCTCAATAAGATTAGATTAATTTCTGATTATGGGAATAGATTATTTTCACCAAACTTACATGCCCGAGAAGGTTATCATGGTGATCTTGATGAGAGAATCCTCTGTTTTTCTTCCCACTCACAATCTCCAACACGAAAACACCAAAGCTAAATACATCTGATTTCACTGAGAAAAGCCCATTTGCTGCATACTTTGGAGAGATGTAACCCCTGCAGAATATTTGTATCTAAGTGTAGAATGATAGATATAGAAGATATGTTAAGCTACTACACATGCATTATGATTAGTGGCTTCTTACAGTGTACCAACAACTTTGTTTGTATTAGCTTCGGTCTCATATTCTTTGAACATTCTAGCCAAGCCAAAGTCTGATATTTTTGGGTTCATGTTGGAATCAAGCAAAATGTTGCTTGCTT